GTTATCTAGCCCATACCCCTCAAGGGGACCCTGAGGGGTGGACTGTTTTTATCCCCAACATAATCCAGGCTTACCATGGCCAGTAATGAAAATATATCCCCACTGTTAGGGGCAATGAGTCTTGCCCCTTTATCAAATAGCCCCAACAAAGTAAACCCACCCGATTCCCCGACCCCAGGCTCTCCTTTGACCACGGCTCCGAACACTGCAATAACTGCCCCTTCACCAATGCCTACTAGTACAGTAGCCAACAATCAACCCTCAAGGAACATTTCCACTCTCCCAGCATGCCCAACTTCAACACCTCTACCCCCACAACCTCCAACATCAACCACCCCATCCTCCCTTATTAATACCTAACAGCCATATAGCCCACCTCTCCATAACACTACCTCCATCAACACTACTCCATCTTCGTCACGCCCTCGCCCTTCTACCACCCCTATCTCTAAAACAATCTTGAATACTCTCTTCAGTGCAGCCAAATGGGACCGATTTTTCGTGATCCCTCCCACAGCTCCCTACTCTGACAACACCCTTCTCTTCCAACAATGCCTCCAAAAACAAGTAGGTAAAGTCTCTTTCCGTAGCCGACCCGACTGCTCCCGTCTTGTAACAGTAACATCCGAAAACCAAGCTATAGCATTAACAAAACTAACTGACCTATATGGTAACCCCATCCTAGCAGAACCCCATCCAACCCTCAATACTTGCACCGGAACAGTCTCAATCTCACCAGCAAATTGCCCAATCTATGACAAAGATTGGTCAGATTGTGGAGAAGATCTACTTGCCTGTCTCACAGACTACGATGCAACATCAGTACAATAATACTCCATCCCCCCCAGAGGTCATCGAAAGAAACCCACTAACATAGCCAAAATTACCTTCCATAGACATGACCTTCCCTTTAACGTCTACATAGGAGGAGAATCCCTCCCTGTTCGTCCATACCAACCTCCTCCACGTCAGTGCCAAAATTGTTGGCGTCTAGGACACCCAGCCAAACATTGCCGTTCCACAGCCAGATGCCCATTATGTGCCCAACCTGGCCTTACCCGATCTAACTGCTCTGCACAATCACGCACATGTGCCAACTGTGGCGGCCCCCATAATGTATTTTATAGGGGCTGTCCCACCTACAAATTTGAATCTGAGGTAGCAACTCTCAGATTCAAACTTGGACTCACACTGCGTGAAGCCAGACAGGAAGCACGTCGACGTGGATTTTCTCTTACTCCTAACTCCAGTAATACTGCTCATTCTAACACTTCTCCTAAACCCACCCCTCCTACATCTAACCCCCCCACTTCTACCTCCTACCTTCCCCAGTCAAACTCTTTTGCCATCCTAAATCCAGAAACTCCAATCTCTACTACAGATACTCCAATCACCACTACAACCCCAACACCTTCCCCTCTCCCTCCTCGCACTCCCCGTAACAGACAGAACAAACGTTCCACCCCCTCTTCCCCTACCACACAATCACCTCCACCATCCTTTGCCCCTACTCTTGAGACACCAGTCCTCTCTTCCCCCCCTCACAAGAAATCCTTTATCCCCACAACTCCCCAACCAACTCCTCAGAAGAAACTATTGAAAATATTCACGATTACTTAATGCAAACTGACACTCAACCTACAACCCCTGCTCCTTCCACACTCCAAGTAACTGCTGATATCCATCCCCCTCCTAACGATATCCCCCCTACACCCTATCCTCCTACCCCCTCCCAACACAGCCCATCCCCCCCGACCCCGACCCCAACCCAGCCCACATTAACCCTCCCACCATCCCCTCTATCCCTTCCACTCCCTCCTGGATACACACGTGAATCCCTTATGTCACAAGTATCCCCTTCCTCAGACCCTCCATCTCCTAATACCCCTCCTGATAGAACACCAACTCCCACATCTCTCCCATCTCAAACCTCTCAGTCCTTATCCCACCCTCTAGCTGCTTCCCCCTCAAAGTCTCCAACACGTACCGCAATCTATATCACTAAATCAACGAAAGTATAACTATTCTTCATTGGAATATTCGCGGTTTCCGCTCCCACAGACCTGACCTTCGTCATATCCTTTCCTCTTATAACCCATCTATTGTATGCCTTCAAGAAACCTTTCTTGCACATCCTCCAATACCAATCCCCAATTATCATTTTGTCTCTTCCCCACATTCCCTTTATGTCTTGTCCATACTTATCAATCAGAAAACACCTTATGTCACACCACCCTTTCAAACCAATGTCCCTTGCACATTCGTATCTTCCTTCATCGTTGGATCACAGTGATTTCAGTCTACTTCTCCCCTTCCCACCCCATTGACTTTGTTGCTTTTGAAAATCTAATTTCCCACCTTCAACCACCTTTCCTCATAGTGGGCGACTTTAACTGCCGCCACACTCTTTGGGGTGATTCTATTACCAACTCCCGAGGCCGATCTCTAGAGCGCTTCCTCTCCACAGCTGACCTTACTATTCTAAATTCAGATCGCCCCA